AAGAAGGAATACGCCGCCTTCCCAAAAGCATAGCTTTAATCAATAACGATTATCTCGAAGACATTGGATTGAGCACATTACTCACAACAGCTATGGAGAATTTTTTTGCAGTTTCCCCTCTTTAAGCATGAGACCTTCATCGCATTTAAGTATTCCCAAGACTTTGGAATAATTACCAAGGAGTCGTTGAAGAGGGTGACTAAATGGGCAACTAAGTATTTCACTCATGAAAAATTCTACTACCATGTCCCTCAGACCAGCATGGAATTTGCAAATGCCAACAGAAGAGATCAACCCCGAGACTGAAAGCGGTTTGAAAATATTTGTGGAGAAGTATCGTCCGTTGGACAAAGGACGCTTCGGGAGGAAATTAACAAGGACAAGGCAGGGGCTTTTCAACCGGCCGTCTTCACGAAGTAAGATTCCACCAAAGTGGACTTGTTGGCGGACCAGGGAACGATTGTCGGCGATCAGCCAGCAGTTGGTCTCACCAGCGACAAAGGAGCCGTTCAAGCTTCTTCGGATGGTAGGAATGTGACAGATGCCATGTTTGCTGATGACTATATCGTTAAAGTGGCAGTTTCTGAGATGAGAACATGTGCAAACGAATATGACAAGGACTCNCCAAAGGGTTTTTTCTGCACAGTTCCACGTGTTATAAGAGCTTAATTATTTCGTTGGGTCTTTGATCAATTTTGCTTCAGACAGCCGCTTTTTATCAGTGTAGCAAAGCAAGCAATGTTACAAGTTCGGCTTTGCTCGAACGAAGTGCATCAGTTTCGAGGCCGGGCTATATCGACAACGGCTCACATGCTCGCGCCCAGTATTGAAAATTAGAACAAAAATGGCTAGTTATCTTGATCCTCTATTCCGCATATTTTTACAAACTATAAGTGAACTAGAACCCCGAAACCAGTTATTTGCAATGGTTGTAAGAGTAAGACTAATTTGTGGCCCTCACTATGCCTTTCCATTTCATGTACTTTTTGTTACCAGGTAACGAACAACACTGGTGTATGTTTTAAGACCAAAAGAAGATCAAATAGCATAACTCAAATGGCGACTGAGAATGCATACGCCCAGGAGTATATAACCTCAGGGTTACAAGTCGTCTTGAGGCCATCTTGAAGCACTTCAGTGAGACAAGCGTTACTTTTAGTGTTTCTTAAAAATATTTTTATCATAATATCGTGAAATTTTAATGTATTTTGTACGGTTCTGTGGACTTGACTTATACTTTAAAATTCTCTCGCAGCAAAATCATGCCACTTCACCTTTACAAATGTAAGACTTGACTTTTTTTGGTCATTTACCCAGCAAAGTAGGAACTGCTACACTTAGTGGAGATAAAGAGTGCAAACACCTGAAGCCACCCATAGGAAAGGACAAAACTCTTCGTATGTCCTTTAAGACTTACAGCCTTGATGACGTGGAGCGAGCTCTGTCCGACCAAGTTAAGGTAAAGTTGTGCTTGACAAAATCCTTCATTCGCTCCACAGAAATAACAAACGGTGTTGTTAATCTTTCGGGGCGCGCTGCCCTAGAAGCTGCAAAGAAAATGCAAAATTCCAAGAAAGCCTCTTTGCAGTTACAACTAGTCATAGATGTTGGAGAAGAAACGGAACTACTAGATAATGTGAACTCATATGGTATCCAATTTTTGAGAATTCAATAAATAGAATTATATGGGAAAAGCCCATTCTATAAAATATATTACAATGTAACTAAGAGACAAATATATATGACTCTTTTGACAACATATCTTTTCTTTTCTTGCTTGCCTGCATGTTTAAATCTTTCTCAAAGCACTAAGAAATGTCACTCCAAGGTTTCCATCACAATAATACACCACCTAGATAGAAACAATATANAATTTAATTTAGTCCATTTTCACTGCATTAAGTTTTGCAGTGGGGAAGGACTAGAAAGGAACATAGGAACCATTCGTGCTAGTCCACCCTCCCACCCATCCCACCCCAGGGGAGGACATCCATCACACAGTAATCTCGTGTGTGGGAAATTAACGTCTCCTACCCCAACCCTGCAGGAGACGGGACCTCCATTTATTCGTCCCTATCCGAGAAGACTAGAATATCTAACCATTTCTTGATGTTATAGAAAGGCAGCAAATTCTTCTCAATTATTTTAAGACCCTGAGTGTTGGCCCGGCCGGGGCTCGAACCCTCGACCTCCCGCACAACAGTCCAGCGCTCTATCCATTGAGCTAACCGGGAGGCGGTACTATTTCTAAGGTACGCAAACAGTAGGTATCTCTAATAACCTAATTGAAAAGAAGACACCAGAACAATCCTTTCCGATCATTTCATCGGAGCCAATTGCAATCGACGCATTGTCAAACCAAACACAAGACTATTATATTGTGCAAGAGGTCTGTTCACAATTTTGTTGTCTTTCTGACAATCTTGTCTCCAACATTTTGACCGGCTAAGTGGTTGAAAAGGCATGCTTCGATGCTGCGCACGGCAATCAAAAGTTTGTATGCAGAAGAGTTGTAACTTACTTAAACACTCTTCAAACAAAAACTGAAAGTCACTTGGAAGATACTGGAATTGTTTTATTCCAGAATTGAAAAACATAGTTCTTATTGTATCAATTTTTGACTTAATTTTAGAGTTTATGCTACGTGTGCCTTTTTAGCCAAGGATAGGGTCGGAAAGTATTACTTCAGTGACTCGCCACGTTATTCATAAACAGTCATTTAACTGACAAATGGCCTAAAATCTAACTGAGAACTGATAAATGGCAGAGATTTTAACTGACTACTGACATTTGTACCCCCCACCCCCTCCTCATTCAGACCCTCTTTTAACGCTGTTTTGGCGACTTTCTTTGCAACACGTGTGGTGTTCCCAGTCGGGAATGTCACGTTTGGCAATTGCAGCTCCCGTCCAACAATCCCGTTTTGTCCATTCCACGAGTTGCACCTTTGAATGCTTCAAGGCTCTGTTTTTGACGTTGGTTATTGTTCATTTTGCTCCATAAATAGGGTTCCAGATATCGGATATTGTGTTTACCGTATTTTGTAGTACTTAACTCTAGGGATAGCGAAATCTTTATGCACTTATCAGCGGCCATCCCGGGGGGGTGGGGGAACCCAGAGAATCCCCGAGCATTTGCACAGCGGCGTTTACAAATCCTCTCTGCCTAAAACCAAGATTGTTTAACAAAAAGCTACTAAGGCCCCTCCCCTGGCAGCAAAGAAATGTGCTCTGCTAAGCCAAACGGTGCAACATTTCAAAAGAATCTTATTGGCCATAATCAATTTTCTATTTGGTATAATTATACATATGAGTCAATTAAAATAAGCAAAGAAAGCTGTTCCACTTATTTTCTATGCAGGATGAGGTTCAGCTTACCATGTAAGTGATGGAATGGGGAAGGAGAGAATATTCTTGTTTCATGGTAATGAGGAACTAGGATTCCTTGAATATTTTTTGAAATGCTTTATATAATTTACCGAAATATAATCAGAATCAAGTAAAAATACATGTATTTTTTTTCAAGTAACACAATGGAAAGACAATAATGAAAGCTCTGTTCTCCTGCTCCTGTCTTTGTTTACAACACAGAATTTACAGTTTGACACACATGCGATCCCCAAAAAAGAAAAAGTATCCATGCATATTTTTAAACAGCAGAGAGCCACCTTTTTAAAAATACTAAGAAATAACTGGGTTTTAATCAGGTACATGGCATTAATTAAAGAAGATTTATTTAGCTTGGCCTAATTATCTTAGGCAGGGAGACTACTACAGCCTTAGCCAATTACAGTGGATCCGGCATCTGACAAGGTCAAACCCCCCCCTTCAGGGAAGGTTTAGATTCAACATTCTAACCATCAATTTAACATTGATTACTGCATCTTCTGAGTTCCTGTTACACAATATTATTGTACCATACTTTTTATGGTCACCTTTAAGATAATTCTCACTATACCATCTAGATATGACTACACCCTCATTTTTGAGTCTGTTCAACTTGGGATATTGATTCAGCAGCAACGTATATCTGATGGTCGTCTGCGTACATTGAGAGATTTGCATCCATTATTTGATGTGTCAAGTCATTCTGGATTACATTTCATAGCAGAGGACCAAAGGATGAGCACTGAGGACATCCTCAAAAAAA